TGCAGCGTAGAATATTTTCTTCTGGAACGGTCGCCAAATATCTTTGCCCTTAGTGAAACCAACTCGAATTCTTCCATTGCTACCAATGAATTTTTGGTTTCAGGGTATCTTTCTCTTTGCCGAAAAGATTCCAGTATTCAAACGTATGGCCTTGGTATATACATCCTGGATAATCTTCCGATGGCCTGAGAACTGTCTCTCGAGGAAACCAACTACACTTTTATGTATTTTCGTCTTCCCCTACTAAACAATGTCAGCCCACCTTTTTTTTCTTTATTGCTCCATTTTCCCAAGACTGCAGTATATTAGACGCAATAGCTGGCAGTATATAAAAGCGCTTTCTCTCCACCCATCTGCATACATATTTGTCCTCAGTGACATCAATGCTCTTCACAACACATGGCTGAAACATTCCAGGGGTACTGATGTTGCCGGTATGCAGACATTAAATTTTCCATTGCCGAACCCATCACAAATCGTGAACTTTCCTACTAGTTTCCCTAACCAAAAGGAGGAACAGGCTTTTCTACTGGATATATTTCTTACTCTCCTCGTTCTTGCCGAGCTTCGCAACACTGCCTTCTTGATAACTCAGTCCACTCCATGGTAGGTATTGATATCTCTTTCCAAACATCCATTAAACAGGAACCTCCTATTTATAAGACCTCGTTACCAGCACGTTGATTGGGACTCATTCCTGATGATATCTTCAACGTCTCAATTGAAAATCGCACCACCGAGTTTTCTCCCTGGGTCAAAACCGGCATGGACGCTTTCAACTTGGAAAGACCAGGTGAAGTCGCAATCCATCCATGGTTCACACCAGTATGCTCGGTCATCATAGCACGCAATAGCAACTATTTCCGGCTATACCAGTGTGACAGCTCTCGTTTTAACTAGTGCCTATTTGCTACTCCTTGTAACAAATGTAAGCGAGTTCTCGAAGGAGCTAGGTCCCTGTTTGCTGAGAGAATGAGGCAAAGCATATCCACAAGAAATCTTTGGCTCTCGTGATAACTAGCGTCTTTGTAACAGGGTACTAAATAAGTGCAAGGTCTCTATTCCCTCCTCTTCAATCGACTTGAGGTGTTACAATCCTCTGCTGATAAAACTGAATGCGTTGCCCATAAATGTTACTCTAACTTTACTCTTGACTCAACTGGAGTATCCCGGTCCAACTTCCCACTTATAACTGATTCTCTGTTGAGTGATATGCGTGTAACCCCTTCCATGGTTGGTCTCTGCTATCACCTCTAACACCGGTCCCCACAAAACCTGGAAACCCTGTAATAATCATTAAGGTGTGTGCTCCCGAACTGACTCCTGTTATCTCTAACCTGTATAATAAATGCTTCGCATTCTCCTGCGTTCCTGCCATCGTCTGCTGTTCCAGTTTTTAAGAACAGTTGAACAGTCCGACCCATCTATGAACCTGTTAGCCTACTACACCTTTTCGGCAAACCCCTAGAACCCCTAATCAATCCTGAATTGGTTCATCTTTCACCGCAGAGACTTTTCTCAGATAGGCAATACGGTTTTCGTTTCCCCATGTCATCTGCTGATGTACTAACGATAATTGCGGAAAGAGTCTATCATGCTCTAGATAAAAACGGTGAAGCCCGGGATACAGCTTTGGACATCTCAAAAGCCTTTGACAGGGGCTGGTATTCAGGTCTTCCCCACAAGCTGAACAGTTACGGTGTATCCTGACACCTTTTTGAGCTAAATCCAGTCGTTCCTATCAAATCGTGAACTGAAAGTTGTCCAGGACATTCACTCTTCTACATTCTTTCCTACTAACGCGGGTGTTCCCCAGGGCTCCATCCTTGTCCTACGCTCTTTTAACCTTCAATAACGACCTTCCTAATAACATCAAGTCCCAATTTGGCATCTGCGCTTACGGCACTACCATTTATTCCTACCTCGATAGTAAAGCTGATCAGTCCGACATGGTTAAAATGGTAACTGATGCACAAAACGGCCCCCAGACCGTTGTTAACTGGTGCAAATAATGGCTTGTCAAGGCCCCCAAAACTAAACTTCTCTCCAGACCTTCCACCAGTATGGGTGATGTTGTTCTCCAAAAAACTGACTCAATGCACCTCCTCGGGCTAACGTTTTCAGTTGACATGAAATCGAAAGACTATATTGAATCTATTGCTAGGTCAGCTGTTATGAAAGTTGGTTCACTGTGACGGTCGAGTCATTTTTTCTCTTCAGAATCTATATTGCATATCTATGTGTCTACTATTCGTTCATACTTAGAATATTGCTGCCATATATGTTCCGGTGACCCAATGACTTACCTGGAACTCCTTGATAAGATCTAATGTAGAATCAGCATTATTATTGGTCCTGATCCCTCTCTGTGCCCTTTTTTTTATAAATACTTTCATGGTAATTGTTCGGATGAGCTCTTCGCTATGGCACCTAGACTGGATGAATTTCAGGGCAATACATGGCTGGCGGCGAGGTCGCATCAGTTTACAGTTGAGCTAGCTAGATGCAGCTGTAATTTCTGTTCTCGCACCTCTCGCTTGTGGAACTCCCTTCCGGATCTATGCTTTAATCTGCAAGAATTTAAATGCAATGCCAATCACTATCTACTGACCACCTGCATGCAATTTTCTTGTTTCAATTCATTACTAAGCTTTCTGTTCTCAATTCTTACACATCCTGTAACACCTCGCGCGTTAATGGCTGTACTCCCTTACATGGGGTGATATCGATAAAAAACATAAAATTTTGATATATGTTTGAACGTGATAGTAATTCGTTTAATAAAGATTTTTCTTAATGAATATATAGCTTAATTAAGATGGAATTAATTATCTGGAACAAAGAAACATTATTTTTAATATTAACTTTTTTGCGTAGCACTGAAAAATATATATATATATATATATATATATATATATATATATACAAGTATAGGATTGGTGTATACGGAATAAAATAACCAACAAATACTATTCTTAAAAGAGTGCTCAATACAGAGTAGAGCAAATATTTATTCGAAATTTATAACATAAATATGTTATAAAATCACTACATAAATAGCCATTTTGTTTCAACACTTCTAGTGTCTTATCTAGTTGTTGAATGCAGAATAAAGAGTAAAACTGGCTATTTTTTAGTGATTTTATAACATATTTATATTAGAATTTTCGAATAAATAATTGTATATATATATTGTCATCTACAGACAGACTGTATCGTTCATCAATGTGGCTTGACATCCGACTGCCTAAAGCCGGGTTGGAAACCCGATTGGTTTGATATCAGTCGGAGATTTTACCCTTAAGCTATTGGCACATGACAGGTGCATTTAGACGTATTTATTTTTAAACAAACACGCCAGGGACAGGAGAACGGAAAGTCTTGCATCAGCAGCAGTAATAGTTATAAATTCACTTTTCTTCCCGAAGAGCTGAACCGAAATAATTTTTCAGGAGCATGTATATATTGTCATCCACTGACAGACTGTTTAACAGCTCATCAGTGTGAATAGACATCCGATTGCCTCAAGTCGTGATCGAAGGTTTTTACCCCTAATCAAGTGGCACACGGCAGGGATGAGGGTGAATTTAGACGTATTTATTTTTAGACATACACGCCAGTAATCGCAAAGCACGATTCGTCCTAACTAAACATATATATATATATATATATATATATATATATATATATATATATATATATATATATATATGTGTGTGTGTGTGTGTGTGTGTGTACATGTGTGTGTATGACTATTCAATCTCTCGTTTCCCGATCGAGCACCCTAGAGAATGGGTAATTTAAAAAAGAAACAGTGATTGCTCCTGCTATTAATGCATCTACAGTTATGAATGGAGTGCTATTGACTACTGGCATCTATCTATCTATCTATCTATCTATCTATCTATCTATCTATCTATCTATCTATCTATCTATGTTGGTCTAATTATATCAATCTATTTTTGTAATATTCATATCCGTCTATCTACTTTGTCCTACACAGTTTTTCTGAGTGGCTGAAATTTCGATTTGAGTTTTTATCAGTGGCTGACTTTTCGATTTATCTCATTTCATCCAACAACACCCGGTTCGATAACATTGTTTTTGACGCTACATAAACTGTGGCTGACAGTTGATTGACGGCAAGCGAACTGTCCGATTGACCGAGAGACAGAAGGAGAGATTGACTGCATGAGTGAATCACCGAATTAACAAAACCAACTAGACGTATACTTAAATCTCGTGACCAAATCAAATGTTTTGCTCGCATTGGTCCGTGTTTTGAAACCTTTGCATTAAATTGACAGGATCCATCATTTAAAACTGAGGTGAAGATTTTCTGTTGAATATATTACAATACATAGCTTTCGACAGAGTAATTCCCCACATTCGAGCGTTAGGATTTTCACACGCCATAATTTATTGCCATACGGAATATATTAAACATTTTAATGATGCTTCTTTGAATGTCTTCTGAAGATTTAAAACCATATATATAATGAAAGCAAAAACGAATACAACGGCGGAATGAACTAAGAAAAAGGAAAGTGAAATATTGGTGATAGAAAAGACGAATTGACTCAAAGGAAAAATAAGTGTCGTATGAATGAAACCAGTGTGACGAATTTAAAAGCTTCTTCGAGATTAGTTAGCCAACCTTATTGCGTTACGCAGAGAAGAAATGAAAAAGCGGGAATGCAGGAGGAAATTCTTGAGATAACAAACATAAACTGAAATAGATCAAAGTAAATAAAACTACCTTTTAATCAATACGATTTCTATGCAAAGTCAATATTCTATTTCGACCTGAATTGATGTATCGTTCACAATTCATTCATATAAATCTCTCAGTCGAGGAGACTTTTGTAAAATATTTATTAATCATTAGTATATCATGTGTAGCGCATATACGGGTTGAAAATATCTATCTATCTATCTATCTATCTATGAACAAACTCAATTCATATATCTATCTATGAACAGTCTCAATATATCTATCT